GTCGAACCTTTTAGTTTATGAGATGATTGAAGATAGTGAAGGTATTCAGCAATTTGTTGCGGGGATGCCGTGGCAGGTGTGGAAATGTCATGTGAATGACAATACGATTCAAATACCTTCCATTTATGGTCATATAGTGCTTTAGTAGATGACCTGTGCGCCCCCGCAATGGTCTTTGCCACTCGTTCAGAATAATCTTTAGGTATCAATGATTTCTGTAAATGCGCCAAACGCATAGATTGAGGGTTGTTGGCGACGGATGACGGAGCTGAGTGTGTGGTTGATGCAGAAGATCGGCACTTAGAGGTAGATGGTAAAATTGTCTGTCTGCGAGACGAGTGAGCGTTATGAACCAACTGCGTGTTGGCCAGTAGGGCGCGGCCAAAAGCAGAGTGAGGCGATTGGTCATGGTTATCTTGTGTAGAACCCGATGTAGAATGCCGGTTGGGGGAAAGGCGTAAGCATGTAGTCCTTCCCATGGGATTGCTGACGCATCGTGGTCCCAGGCTAGGGGGTCTGTGATAGGAGATACGAACCGGGATAGCTGAGTATTGAAGCGGGTTGCGAAGAGGTCGACGTCTTGGGCACCGAAATAACTGGCAAATAGACTGAAAAATCACGGGATGTAGACGCCATTCCGTGGGAGATGGTTTGTCGGGTCGGGACAGGGAGTGGGCTATGATGTTGGCGATGCCAGGAATATGTCTTGCTTGAACTTGAATGTTGAGTGAGTCGATCAGTTTGAAGAAGTCGAGTGCTAGAGATAGAAGTGACGTTGACTTGGTGGTTCCCATCTTGTTTATGTACCACATGACCGAGTGTGGAGGACTGAAAAAGTGTCGACCAATGAGACACTGCCAGAATCACTGCTTTGAATTCTAGATCGTTGATGTGAAGCTGACTTTCTTCTAATGACCACCGCCCTGCCACTTGTAGGTCTTGGCAATGAGCTCCCAATCCGACGGTTGAGGCGTTGACGAACAGGTGGAGGGTCGGGGTGAATGGTTGCAAGGCGACTCCTTCGCAGACATTTGATGGAGTTAACCACCATTTGAGGTGTGGGTGTAGATGGTTCGGAAGAGTGATAAGGACCTGACAATCATCGTCCTGAAGGAAGGGCTTGAGGAAGCACTGGATTGGCCATAAGTGAAGTTGACCTCTCTTGGTGAGGGCTTGTGCTGATGTTAGGAGACCGAGAAGTTGTTGCCATTGACGTCAGGAAAGTGGCTGTTTGAGTGCCAATGGAACGAGGCGTTGGATTTTCTCCCAACGATCTTGGGGGACAAACATCTTGCCCAGACTCGTGTCGAAGAGGGCTCTGATGACTGTTGATGATCCAACCTAGTTGATGAAGTAGGCGTTGAGAAAAATCGAGGTGATGAAGTAGAGTGTTCGAATCCTTGTTGGCTTGAATGCAGTCGTCGATGTACGTTTCGAAGACTATGCCTCGAGTGTGTAAGAACTTGTAACGCTTTGTGAGGCGAGTAAATAACCGGTGGGCTGAAGAAATTCCAAATGGGAGCACTCACAATTGGTAGTGTTGGCCTTGGAACACAAACCGAAGAAAATGGCGGTGCTCTGGCAGGATAGGGACGTGTAAGTACGCGTCTTGTATATCTAGGCTGATCATGAAGTCGCCGGGATGAATAATCGTTCGTAGTAGAGCGATTGATGTCATGCGAAAGTGTGGAGGAGTCTCTAGGTATAGTTTGTTGAAGGTTTTCATGTTGAAGATGAGAGGTAGTTGAGGACTGTTTTTCTTGGAACCAGAAAAATTGGAGAATAGAACCGTGGTGTCATTGGCCGAGTGACCAGACACTCTATTGCGTTAACGTGTTTATGGCGTCTATGAGAACTGGAAGTTGTGTGGCTGGATACAGATGTTGAGGCGGTTTGCACGTTGTCGGAGGTGTGGTGGCAAGAGGTAGAGAATAGCCTGTTTGTAGGAGACTAGACACATATGGGTCGTCTAGGATGGTCCAGTTTAAAGCGAACGTGCCTAGTCTTCCGCCTACAGGAGACGAGAAAATCGGAATGGCTGGAGTCGGAAGGTCCCAGTCGTTCTACTGTTGTAGTGAGTCATTTGGGGTAGGTGTCTCCTGACTTAGGAGTTAGAGTTTCCTTTAGTCCCTGAAAAGGAGTTGGTGCGTCCGCCTGATTTCCCTCCTCGCTGATGTTGGCGTGCTCGGCCACGGCCACGAAAAGAAGCAGACCTATTACTCAAAACTTCTCTAAGGTCTTGTTGAGAAGGAGTAAAGGTTGGTCGTCTTCGGTCTTTCTTTTGTTCTTCCAGTTGATTTCTCTGGAGACGAAGTAAGTCAACAGTGACTTGCAGGGAAGTGTCTCTTTGGACTTCATGGGCGACCTCCTGATTGCGCCCAGCAATAAGGGATGGTGTTGACCATGGCATTTGGTACAGCCTGTTCTTAAATTGATCATCCCATGAGCAATGTTGTAACACCCCACGTCTACCAAGAGTAGTGATAGATCCCACATGGTGAGCAAGGAGGTCTAGTATAGCTGTCGTTTTATCCTGGATGAGGGTCACAGCACCTCGAAAACAGGATTCTTCCGAGGAAGATGCATGAGCTAGAGCCGATGAAAGTGCTTCAGTTGCTGATAAAATAGTGGAGACCAACGGGAGGGTCCTTCGAACAATGGTTTCGAGGTGAAGCGGGTCCCTATCATTCACTGAAGAAGCTGAGTACGGACGCTTAGGAGCTAATGTTGCGATGTCACCATCTAATTCGGGAGCAATCATAGACAAGCCATGAGTCCCTGCATCTGGCAATACAAACCGTGGACGGCAAAAGGATCCAAATGCTTTGTCTAAATTGGTGGCCATATCCTGTAGGACTGGTCTCGGAGGGAGTGTGATGTTCGGCGACAAGGCTGAAGGCACAACAATTGATGATCATATCTCCAAATACTGTGTACTCGTTAGTCTACAGCATATCTACAGCATATTTCGAAATACTGTGTACTCGTTAGTCTACAGCATATCTCAAAATACTGTGCACTCATTAGTCTACAGCATATCTCCAAATACTGTGTACTCGTTAGTGTACAGCATATCTCCAAATACTGTGTACTCGTTAGTCTACAGCATATCTCCAAATACTGTGTACTCGTTAGTCTACAGCATATCTACAGCATATCTCCAAATACTGTGTACTCATTAGTCTACAGCATATCTACAGCATATCTCCAAATACTGTGTACTCGTTAGTCTACAGCATATCTACAGCATATCTCCAAATAATGTGTACTCGTTAGTCTACAGCATATCGCCAAATACTGTGTACTCGTTAGTCTATAGCATATCTCCAAATACTGTGTACTCGTTAGTCTACAGCATATCTCCAAATACTGTGTACTCGTTAGTCTACAGCATATCTACAGCATATCTCCAAATACTGTGTACTCGTTAGTCTACAGCATATCTCCAAATACTGTGTATTCGTTAGTCTACAGCATATCTACAGCATATCTCCAAATACTGTGTACTCGTTAGTCTACAGCATATCTACAGCATATCTCCAAATACTGTGTACTCGTTAGTCTACAGCATATCTCCAAATACTGTGTACTCGTTAGTCTACAGCATATCTCCAAATACTGTGTACTCGTTAGTCTACAGCATATCTCCAAATACTGTGTACTCGTTAGTCTACAGCATATCTCCAAATACTGTGTATTCGTTAGTCTACAGCATATCTCCAAATACTGTGTACTGATTGTGAGATGTAGTTTTATGACCAGAGTCTGTACATATATGTTATGTGCAATGTCTGGGATGGTCAGGCAGCCTGGTGACAGGTACTTATAATCTGATCCACTTTGTCGCCTCTTATTCCATAGATGGGAAACCGGAATCTCCACGGCCATATTTTCTAAAATCTGTAGAAACAGCTTCTATGATTTGTGGAAAAATATTGAGTGAACCCTAATGTTGCCCAAGGGAATTGCGGCGCCTTAGACAGGTGTGCCACCCATGTCCTTATATAGAGAACTTATGGGCTATCACAATTATTTCTCAAAATTTGCCAAAGTTTCTTAACACAGCAGGCATTTCTTATTGAAATAATTGACAAAACTAAACAACATTAGGCCACAAATAATATTTATTAGTAATGTGTACATACATTTCCTATGTGTTCTAATGTGCGGGTATTCTAAAGTGGCACGATATTCGTCTCCTAAAGAATAATTGCCACAAATACACTGTACATCTACATATGAGATACCAGCCCGTCTTCCAACAGGGAGGCGACGGTCAGCGGCAGTAGGGTATTGCAGGAACAACAACATGGACACAAACCCTGACCCTAACGGTCAGCAGTAGGGTGTTGCAGGAACAACAACATGGACACAAACCCTGACCCTAACGGTCAGCGGCAGTAGGGTGTTGCACGAACAACAACATGGACACAAACCCTGACCCTAACGGTCAGCAGTAGGGTGTTGCAGGAACAACAACATGGACACAAACCCTGACCCTAACGGTCAGCGGCAGTAGGGTGTTGCACGAACAACAACATGGACACAAACCCTGACCCTAACGGTCAGCAGTAGGGTGTTGCAGGAACAACAACATGGACACAAACCCTGACCCTAACGGTCAGCGGCAGTAGGGTGTTGCACGAACAACAACATGGACACAAACCCTCACGGTCAGCGGCAGGGTGTTGCAGGAACTGTGTCCCAACTACTCGTAGATAAAATGGGATGAAAGCTACCTTTGAACCCATTGACCCAATAATCTTCAATCATTTTGCACATTTATTTAGCGAATATTCATGTTTATTTTCACGAGTTCATCCAGAGTTGCCAGACACTAATTGTTTCATAACACGTTCTGCATCTCTGGAAAGAAAACGCATGATACTGTTTATTTTCACGAGTTCATCCAGAGTTGCCAGACACTAATTGTTTCATAACACGTTCTGCATCTCTGGAAAGAAAACGCATGATACTGCTCTGTGTTTATGTTCCACCAGAAACAACTGAGAACCGCGATGGTACGGACAGTCTGAAGCAGCGAATAGCTGTTGTTAAAGAAGAGTATCAGGACAGTGTTCTAACACTGTGTGGAGACATGACTTCTAGAACGGGTAACTTGAATGACTTTACTGAGGATGACTCAGTTGACCGTCTACCGATGGAGGAGGACATTTCCTGCCCTGTGGAATGAATCCCACCTGTACGAACAAACAGGGAAACTATTATTAACAATTATGAAACAAATTATTTGAACTTTTTATTGTCAATGGAAGATTGTCAGACGCTTCAGTGGATTTTACTTTCATAGGGGCAACTGGTTCGAGTACCCCCTACTATATGTGTGTTTCATCAGATGTATTTCCCAATGTATCTGTCTTCACTGTAAAACACGTACTGATTCACATCATCTCCTCCTCGTACTAACTTTACCTTTATTTAGTGAAGGAGTTAGTTATACCATCACGATACTGTGATGAGCGTGTTATCTACAGGATCTGAGAGAGTGAAGTATAAATGGAATACTACATTCAAGCAAACTTTCGTTGGACAGATTGTATTCTGGAGCAGTGTGACAGGTTTGTGGAAATAGTTTATGAAACCTTAGACACTGCTGTATGTAGTCTTGTTGATAATTTCACATCCAGCGGATCATTGATGAGATAACGTCAAAACTGAAGCCGAGTATACTCTGATAAATTACATTTCTCAACATGTGATTTCTTTTTTTTGTTTAGCGCCGCTTTTATCAGCATTCCAGTCATATCACGTCGTGTCAGCTTAATGTGGGAGGAAAGCCCCAAATGATGCAGGTCTTAGACGTTTACCAGTTCCGTGAAACCTACAAACACGGGTATTGTGCTGACAAACCTAGAAACATAATCGGGGTGAACCGGGATTCGGACCCACAATCATAGGTTTCTGGTGTGCCCAAGGGACGCAACTCTGCACAGCGAATTGCGGCGCCTTAGACGACTGGGCCACCCGTGCCCTCTGATATATTACAACTTAAGTGGTTTGATTACGAATGTGTTGAGTTAAGAAATATTAAATATGAACATCTAAATGCGTTCCGTTTTAGCCCAAATAGAGAAAACTGTCATGTAAAGAAAAAAAGCCCAAAAATACGTTTAAGAATAATTGTCGTCAAAAAGTTATGGATTTTAAATTGAATATTAGTGACAAATTACCTGAAGCAGCAGATACACACGATTGTAAGAGCTTTTGGAAATTAGTGTAGAAATATATTTTTTAAAAGTCGTAAACATGTAAAAAAAAATACCAGTTCACGTTTGGCAGGAACACTTTAATAATCAGCTAAACACACAGTTTAGTCTGGAGGTGGAGCGTTTCTTATCAATACATGGACATACATTTACTGATTGTGAAAAGTGTCTGCAATCTGATGATCTGTCATCAGAGATTACATTTTGTGAAGTACCATATGCAATCGATAATCTAAAAGCTGATAAACCTCCAGGAGATGATGGTATCCTCTCAGAGATGACGGTATGCCCTCAGAGTTCTTTTCATATGCCACAGATACATGTATACTGATTAAAGGGAATTTCCTAGTGCTTGGGCTGCATGTATTATATACCCATACATATGAAAGGCAACACAGAAGACCCTTATAACTCTAGAGAAATCTCATTACTTACCACCATGAGTAAGATATGTGCTTATATACTAAATTAGAGATTAGATACTTTCATTGAAGATAAAGATATTATTGGAGAATACCAAGGTGGGTTAAAACAACATTCCACCGCAGACAACATATATATTTTACAGTCACTGGTATAGAAACACATTGCCCCTAATAAAGATAGATTTTACTGCGCTTTCGTAGACTATAAGGAAGCATTTGATATGGTGATTAGAAATAAAGTGATGTTTCTGCTATTAAACAATGGCATTCAGTGAAATTGGTTCTAGGCCAGGCGATGGTGTGTTCATTTCAGAGGAAATGTACAACAGAATTTCTCTATTATTTGCAGATGATTTAATACTTGTAGCAGATACTACTATAACATTACAAAGACGAGTGTATCTCTTGTAAGGATACTGTGAAAGATGGGGAATGGAAATAAAAACAAAAACAAAAACAACTAATAATATGATTTTCAGAAAGAAAGATGGACATATGATATTGTATCACTTCCCACTTAAGCCTGTTACCTCCTGTAGATATCTGGGTCTAATGATAACTCTAAAGCAAATTTGGACTAAAGCTTATAATACCCTTGCAGAACAGGCAAGTAAAGCACTATACACTCTTAAAAGAAGTAACGCACAGGTAGTATGTAGTTCACTGAACCTGACTACACAAAAAATCGGGTATATAAATTAGATATATGTTATTGATATTCGACAAACGGTGCGTCACAATGCAACCATTGTCAATTTGCAATGTCTTAAACGGCATTGTTTTCACACTTGTTCAAAAATGTCATGGAGGAAAACAGTGAAGCGAAATGCACGTGCAAGTGATGGCATTCGTAACTCGTGGTAGTGGCTACAGAAAGGCAAGCATAAGCCAGTAATTTGTTATTCAATTGTCAACATTTTTCAAGTTTGAAAACCATCGCTGCCGATCGCAAAATTCTCATAGAACGTATCCAATGAGAGGAATTGCAGTCTTCTGTTGCACGCCACTTTAACATCCGCCAGAGCACCATTTGCCGCCTTTGTGACCGATACACACAGTTCGATTCCACTGCAGACCGTCCGAGAATCGGCCGACCAAGAGTTTCCACCCCTGCACAGGATCGCTGCATTCGACTGTTCCACTTACGTCATCGCAATGACACAGTTTGTGGAGGATATCGGACCAGACTGACAGGAACCATCGTTGCGAGACTGGAATCCGACCCAGAAGACCAGTTATCGTCCCTGTTGTGCAACAGATTCATCCACAGCGACGCTTGCGTTGGTGCCATACCGTACAGCCTTGGAATTTGAGAAACTGGAGACGAGTGTGGTTTAGCGATGAATCACGATTTCTTCTTCACCGACGAGATGGAAGACCACGTGTTTATCGTCGTCGAAATGAACGTTGTGCCCCACATTGTGCACGTGAATTTGACAAATGTCGGTGACTTGCCCTGGCCGTCGAGATCTCCAGATGAACCCAGTTGAACACCTCTGGGATGATCTCGATCGACGTCTACGTCAACGTCAGAACACGCTGCAGACACTCCCACAACTGGACAACGCGTTACAAGCAGTATGGCGCAGAATTCCGCTGGACAGAATTTGTATACTTATCCAGCCAGTACCAAAAAGATGCAGAGCAATCTGGTTGCCTTATGTGACATGACAATGAACAGTTTTCACAGCCTTTGTACAACGACAACATGTGACTATCGAGCTCCCAAATTTCACATGTGTATCTATTATATTAAATTAAATATATTTACTTTATTAGGTACAATAAATTTACTAAAAATCTACCTGTGCGTTTCTCTTTTTTAAGAGTGTATGCCATCCAAACGCTGTGCGTAAATAAAAGATATCTGTTGATAATGCCTTTCAAATATTTGACACAAAAATTGCACCGATATTGATGTGTTGTAGCTGTGGGGATACACTAAAATAAAATAAATAGAAATTGTCCACAGAAAACTTTGTAAATACGTTTTGAATATAATTTACTCCTTGCCAAATACTGTTGCATATGGTGAGTGTGGCAGATATCCACTATATACAATATATAATGTCATATGTATCAAATATTGGTTACGTGTTTTATCTATGCCATCCTACAGACATCCGCACCAGTGTTATTGAATGCTATATGATACCTCTGATAGGAAATACTTAAATTGGTTTCTCATATTAGACATTTGCTGTTTAGTTACGGTTCCGGCTTTGGGCCAGGGAGTTGGTACTGAAGCAGCATTATCTTTGTCCTGAAACAACATAACCTTGACCGTGATGAGACACAAAACTGCCATTCACTTCTCACAGATAAACGACAAATTCAACCATGAAATCAGGACTTCAGTTTGAATTGTATATCCAAAATATTTATGTACTTAATTACAGAAAGGCCTGGTTAAAGTTTTGAAGTGGATATAAAACCTTAGGTATTCAAAACGTACGTGAAGGTAAATATAACGTATAGGTGCTGAAGACTCTGTCTGCACGCACTGTAAATGTCCAGGAAATGCACCTTTGTTTTGTCTGTCCTCTGTATACCGTTGCACGTACTCATTGTAAAGTTTTAACAAACAACCAGGCCCACGGTATGATGTCCGTAATTAACTGTAAAATACTTGAGAATTTCATCCGTCAAAATATATGTATATTGTATTTAAAACTAGAACGGAAACGTAATGTTATCCAATGCCATGATGCACTGTATGATATACATGTATGTAATATGGTTCATATGGCCCTGAAAAACAATAAACTGAACTGAACTGGTTTTACCAATAACGGTACAATTGCATCATGGTTTCCCTAAATAACCAAGTACATTTTTTCAGAGAAATTAGTTTCAAGAAAGTGTATCCATTTAAGCCTATGGCTATCAAAATAAGTGTCAGTGTACATGAATTTCAATAGAAATAAAAAGCATATTTTATTACATTCGAGGGAAAATGTAACGATTCGTTTAAGTAATTTTATATAAAGCTTCCCCGTCAACCCCCCCCCCCCCCCCCCGCCCCCCCCACACACACACCCCTTCCCCCGCCCCGACACAGACACACGCACACAGACACACGCACGCACACTCTCATACACATACTCACAAACATACACACTCACACACACACACTCATAGTCAAACTCCCATACAACACACTCACTCAGGTACTCTCATACACACACAACCTCACACAAATTTACGCACACACGCAAGCACACACAAACGCACTCATATACGCTCGCGCAAGCACACATACACACACACACGTTTATATTGACACTCACACATATATACTCCCGCATACACACACATACACACATACACTCTCTATCACATACATACCAGACAAGTACCTCGACCAAACAAACGCACATAAATACACACGCACACGCACACGCACACGCACACGCACACGCACTCACACACACCCACACACATTCACACACACTCATACACACAAACATCCATAAACTCATACAGACACACCCACACACATATATTCTCACACACATACACTCAGACACACACAAATAAAC